TTTTTTAGATTCCACGTGTAAGTGATAACATACAGTATTTGTTTTTCTCTGTCTGACTTATTTCACTAAGTATGATACCCTCCAGGTCCATCCATGTTGTTGCAAATGGCAAAATTTCCTTCGTTTTTATGGCTGAGTAGTATTCCATTGTGTATATCTATCTATCTATCATCTATCTCAGTATCACATCTTCTTTATCTATTCATCTGTTGATGGACACTTAGGTTGCTGCCATACCTTGGCTATTGTGAATAATGCTGTTATGAATATTGTGGTGAATGTGTCTTTTCAAATTAGTGTTTTTGTTCTCTTTGGATATATACCCAGAAGTGGAATTGCTGGATCATATGGTAGTTCTATTTTTAGTTTTTTGAGGAACTTCTATACCATCTTCCATAGTGGCTGCACCAATTTACATTCCCACCAAGAGTGCACAAGCGTTCCTTTTTCTCCACATCCTTGCCAGCACCTGTTATTTGTTGTCTTTTTGATTGTAGCCATTCTGACAGGTATAAGGTGATAGCTCATTGTGGTTTTGATTTGCATTTCCCTGATGATTAGTGATGTCGAGCATCTTTTCATATGTCTGTTGGCCATCTGCATGTCTTCTTTGGAAAAAGGTCCATTCAGTTTGTCTGCCCATTTTTTAAAAATTGAAGTATAGTTGATTTACAATGTTGTGTTAGTTTCTGGTATACAGCAAAATGATTCAGTTATACATACATATGTGTGTGTGTGTGTGTGTACACATATATATTCTTTTTCAGATTCTTTTCCACTATGGTTTATTACAGGATATTGAATATGTTTCCTTGTGCTATACAGTAGGACCTTGTTGCTTATCTCTTTTATATATAGTAGTTTGTATCTGCTAATCCCAAACTCCTAACTTATCCCTCCCCTACACCCTTTCCCCTTTGATAACCATAAGTTTGTTTTCTACGTCTGGGTCTATTTCTGTTTTTTAAATAAGTTCATTTATATGATTTTCTTAGGTTGTACATATAAGTAATATCATATGGTATTTGTCTTTGTCTGACTTACTTCACTTAGTATGATAACCTCTAGGTCCATCCATGTTGGTGTAAATGGCATTATTTCATTCTTTTCTTAGAGCTGAGTAGTATTCTGTTGTATATGTATACCACATCTTCTTTATCCATTCAACTGTCAGTGGACATTAAGGTTGCTTCCATGTCTTGTCTATTGTAAATAGTTTGTCTGCCCATTTTTAATTGGATGGTTTGTTTTTTTGCTGTTGAGTTGTGTGAGTTCTTTATATATTTTGGATGTTAACCCATTGTTGGACATATCATTTATAAATATCTTGTCCTATTCAGTAGGTTGCCTTTTCCTTTTTTTTTTTTTTGATGGTTTCTTGTGCTGTGTAAAGGTTTTTTTAGTTTGATTAGCTCCAATTTGTTTATTTTTCCTTTTGTTGCCCTTGTTTGAGGAGACAGATCCAAATAAATATTGCTAAGGCTGATGTCAAAGAACATACTGCTTGTGTTTTCTTCTAAGAATTTTATGGTATCAGGTCTTACATTGAAGTCTTCAATCCATTTTGAGTTAATTTTTGTGCCTAGTGTAAGATAGTGGTCTGGTTTCATTCTTTTGCATGTGGCTGTCCAGTTTTCCCAACACAATTTATTGAAGAGACTGTCCTTTCTCCACTGTATGTTCTTTGCTATTTTGTCGTAAATTAATTGTCCTTATATGTGTGGGTTTATTTCTGGGCTCTCGATTCTGTTCCATGTATTGGATTTTTTTATGCTAATATAAATGGCATCATGTTCAAAATTTGACTTTCCTCTGCCTGTCCCAATGTTAAGACTATGGACAGGTACTTTATCATCAAAGATAAATTAAAAGTCCATATCAGAACTATTCTTTAGTCTTGAATTTAGCATGTTTTTACAGTTTATGTTTGCTTTTTACTTACAAATAATTTAACAATACAGCTGGTCTCCTTCTTTTAAAGGATCAGATTTAAATGCTTCCTTTGGAGGGATTGAGAAGTGGGTGGCTCCAGAAGGAAATATAGGCGAGGATCGAAGGATTCTCCTGGGAAGAGCTCATCCTACGGGAGTGGAAGCCAGGCTGGACCCACTTGACCCTGTAACAAAGCCCTGCTCCAAGGGGGGGAGATCGCGTGGTGTCTGTCACTCATGTGTCTTCTAGCCTGGGTGCTCCTGGACTCAAGTCTCAGTCCTTTGGTGTGAGGAGGGAAGGCTGCAAGTGAAAAATGCAAAGAACTCTTTTACTGGTAATTTCAGAAAGCACTGGGCATGAGCTGTACTGCTGTGTGACCCCTTTGATATCATATTACAAAAGGAGGACATTGTCCCTTACCTTATAACAGAACTCCTGTCTGTCGCTTTGGCGCCTTATGGCAGGAGTCACCAGAGGCTTCCCCAGTGCCAGCAGGAGCAGTGGTAGTAGGAATAATAGCTTACATTTATTGAGTGCTTGTTACTTGTTACCGTGCTAGGTACTGTTCTAAGTACTTTATAAACATTAACTCATTAACTCATGTAATCATCACAACTACCCCATGAGGTAAATTAGATAATATTATTCGTATTTTACAAGGGTGGAAACTGAGGCACAGAGAGGCTAGATAACTTGCCTCAGGTCACACAGCTTATAAGTGGTAAATCCAGGATTCAAACTCAAGCTAGCAGGCACCAGCGCCCAATCTCTTCACATTATATAGCCTCTCAGGTGGCAGCAGCGGATGGGGGCTAGAGTAGGAGAAAAGGAATAAACTGGGGATCCTTGAAGGGTGTCTGGCCAGGAGCCTACTCTACTTGTTTTTCAGCACCTGTGAGATAGCCCGTGAGGGCTGTAAGCAATATCTTGGGGTGGGGGTGAGGGCTGCTTTCGAGGGGTCTGGGGGCTAAATTAACAACTAACCTCAAGAGAAGTGGTGAGGTAATCATAATGGGATCTGTAGATCAGATTTATAGACTTCAAAACATGACATTGATTTGTTTTTCAATTTTATCACTTTAAAATTTCCTTGGAATAAGTGGAATCATGACTTCTGGTCTGTTGTTTCTCTGAGGTGACAGGCACATCTATATTTAGACCAATAGTCATGCTTTTGTGGTGATGGATAAGTGTGTGCCTCCAAAAATGGCCGTGCATCGAAATAATAACGTGTTCTTTGCAAACCAATAAATAATTGACGTTGTAGATTGGATGCACACACATCAGAGGGACTTCTATACAAATTTATTTGTTAAGCAGGGAAATGAACCTTTGTGCTAGGACCGTAGATAGCCACCTGGGCAAGTGTCCATGAGCTCATGTAAGCGAGCAGACTCAGATCCAGTCACATCACAAACAGAATGAACCTAGGGCTTCCCAGGCCTGAAGCAGGAGAACCATTAATTTTGATGACACTAACCGCAGCCTGGAGTTCCCTTTGACCCTATCCTTTCTCTCACCTCCCACGTTTCATGTGTCACTAAGCTCTATTGATTCTACCCTTTTAATAGCTTTCACATCTGTCTTCTCTTTTCCTTCTCCACTGCCACTAGTTGGGATCCTTGACATTTGTTCACCTGGATTGGACAATAGCCTCCTGAATGCTTTGTTCTTTTCTCTGACTAGTTGCCTTCACTGCCATCAACATTATAAAGCATAAAACCCTCATGTCACTTCCCTACTTAAAAACATCTCAATGGCTCCCATTGCACAGAGGATTAAAATCTAACATCCAGAGGCTGGTCTACAAGGCTCCTTAAGAACTGGCCCAGACCTCTCTTTCGAGGTCCCGTCTCCCTCATTTTGTCACTTGTGGCACCAACCATCCTAGACCTCCTGGGGCTCCTGGAACCCACGGTCTGTTTTCAGATTTGGTGCCTTTCTTGTGATGTTTCTCAACAGGGTGACTTCCCTGCCACGCTTTTTCTCACCTTTGCCCTTTCGGCCAACTCTTAACTTTCCTTAGAGATTGTCTTCGTACTCACCTTGGGTAGAAGGCACGGTATGCTTCTAAAAGCAGTTCTCTCACAGTATTGCACTGTATAAACATCTGTCTTCCCTGGTAGACTGTGGAGTCCTTGAAGGAGGATTTCATTCTTCATCTATTCCCAGTGCACCATAAATGCTTCACAGGTATTTGCTGGATGGATTCTTCCATTCATCCAAGCATCCATCTTTCTTTCAACTAATAATCATTGAGCAACTGCTATACGCAAAGCACTGTTCTAGTTGCTACAAAGCCATGCTGAAAAAGACACAAAATCCTTATTGCCATGGAGCTTATATACCAGTGAGAGAAGACAGGCAAGAAGAAAGAAAGAAAGAAAGAGGAAATAAATCAGGTGGTAGGAATTGTAGGCAGAGAATTAAAGTAGGGTCATGTGACACAGAATGCATGGGTGTGTACTTTATGTTGGATGGCCAGAGAGGGCCTCTCTGAGGGCAGCCTGGAGGCTGAGGTCTGAATGAACTACCTGGTGAAGGTCAGGGTAATGAGCATTCTAAGAAGAGGAAACGGATAATACAAAGGCCTTAGGGTAAGAGCAAGCTGACTTAGAATAAACACTGGTTACCTAAAGCCAGGGCAACAGTGGGGCACAGTGAAGAAAATGTCTCTAGCAGGCAGAACTGAAGCGATAGGTCACAGCTGGTTTAGGAGTCAAAGCTTCTTTACACCATACTATTTATTGGCAGCCACTAATAGCAAAATAAAAAGGCCCTGTTGTTCACAACTGATGCACAAAAGCCCTTAGGAATGTAGGTGCCTGCGGAATACCCCTTCCCACTTCACTTGGAGCCAAGCTATCTGTGTCAAGGTGGCGTGTGTGAAGAAACTGCCCAGTTGTAATCCACTTGGCTTTCTCTTCTTTGGGCCTGCAGTTTGCCCAAGCCACAGTTAATATAACCAAAAGAATGTGAATACTTTTATTTGCTCTGAAATGTGTCTATTTTTTAACATTTACAGTGGGAAAGGGCCTTTAATTTACCTGTCCCTCATTATTTTCCAGCTTAATATTTTTTATTCCCTTCCTGTGCGGAAAAAAAGGTGCTGTATCTGAAGATCTGTGGGCTTTTGTACAGGGTGAGCGTGTGCTCATGTACACACGTGGGGCACAGCTGAGGATTATGTAACAAAACTGTTCCGAGTACAGTTGGCTGATACTGAAGGCAACTCCAAATTTGGCAACTCCAAATTTCATCGCAGGTAGGCTGAGCATGAACTTGAAAGTCAGGAGTCATGGCTCAGGGCAGCCTGCTGGTCAGCTGTGTTTCCCAACTCAAAATGTTCCCTTGAAACCTTGGGTTTGGGTTCAAAAGACCCAAGAGAGTTCTGTTTCATAGAGAGGTGTTCCCTGCCACAGTCATGGTGATAATACAATTTTTATCTTCCCCAGTGGGTGGGTGGCCATCATGGAGGAGATCTGGTCTGATAAAAGTGTTCACATTCTTGTGGATATATTAACCAAGTGGCTTGGCCACACCAAGGCCATGTTTAGGCATCGTAATAGACCCCGCTATGGCACAGTGATCTGTTTTTTGTGGGGTTTTGTTTTCCTTTTAATTTTGTTTCTGGTTGTTCTTGGGAGAATTGACCATCTAGAACACTTACTTAACTATACAGTGTAATAATTTAGGATTGAAAGGAATTTTGGGTGTCTAAACTTTTCAGACAAGGTGACTGCAGACCAGGACGGTTAGGTGTCTTTCCCAGGGACAGACAGTGAGTTGGTGTCAGAACTTGGGTTCCTGACTCCCAGTCATACTGCCTTTAGTCACTGAAGGGAGGTAGCAAAGTGTGTTTTTTTTAAGCTAGTAGTCCATATTTAAAAATTGGGAGATTACACATAAACATCTGGATTTCTGGTTTCTCCAGAAAGACTTGAGTCCACACTCCTGCAGGATTATGGGCATTAACAGTGGCTTCTACCTTTATACAGGTCGAAAGAATACAGCTCAAGGTGGTATTATGAAGCAGATCTATTTGGCATCTGTAAGGCATTGGAAGTTGCAACTCTTGTGGAAGGATCTAATACCATGATCAGAAGAACTTTGGATATGTCTTTTCACTGTGACATTGTGGTATACGCTTGACAAGTTTTGCAAAGAGATTTTTTTTTTTTTTTTTTGCGGTAAGCGGGCCTCTCACTGTTGTGGCCTCTTGCCGTTGCGGAGCACAGGCTCCGGACGCACAGGCTCAGTGGCCATGGCTCACGGGCCCAGCCGCCCCGCGGCATGTGGGATCTTCCCGGACCAGGGCCACGAACCTGTGTCCCCTGTATCAGCAGGCAGACTCTCAACCACTGCGCCACAAGGGAAATCCGCAAAGAGATTTTTATACCGACTCTGCTGACTAATATTTCGTTTGTGAAGCCAGGAGCCTCCATAAAGGTTAAAAATAATTCAGCTATATTGTGTTGAACTTGATTGAAGTGTCATGAACAGTGTCTGGAGAGCAGAAGAACCAGTTCTCTCTTGTTGCGATGGGTTTAGTCTGTTTACTTTCCTGGTGCCCTGTCGCTGAAGCTGGGGCTGGGAGGCCTGGTGAGGAATGTTTCTTCTGGAGTTCCGACAGGCTCAGCTATTTGTCACAGCCTCTGAAGCTGCTTGGCTACAGGTAAGGAAGGCTGCACTACGGGAGGGATAATTATGGTCAGTGAGTTTGAGCTTTTAGCTTGGCCTTACTCTGCACCCAAACTCACGTCTGATTCAGGAAGTCTTCTATTTTTGTGTGTTCCCATCAACGATTTCCTTACTCGCTTTATCAAAGGGAAACAGCCTTGGGTACCCGTGAGGAGATTCTGAATCCGGCCTTTTGCCTGGCTGAGTGCAGGGCTGGGAAGAAGGATTACGTAGGGGGAGGAGTCATTGTCATTAGAATACCACACGCATGGCCAGACCATACACAACCGGCCCCATCTCCTCTGTGACTCACCGACACAAAGCATGATTAAACTGGAGGGGGCGGGTGGTAAGCAGGCATTGGTGAGGCAGGGGCCTGAATCCTTTCCCTTCCCAGCCTGGGGACCCCATTGGTTGTTCCTTTTCCAGAGGACCTAGAAGTCTGGGGATCTCAAGATACACCTTGACCAGTGAAGTCTGTCCTGGACTTGTGAAACCCTTGTTGTTTGAGTGGCCAAATGAGGTGGAACATGTGATGGATAGCCAGACTTTTCTGGGATGTGGGAGGCTCTTTGACTTACGGGGATCCAGTGGGTCCAGGATTATCCAGGAGTCACAATGACTGGGGTCTCCTTGAGGGAGATAAACCCAGAGAGATTAGGGTGGAGCTTCATGGTCCCTATCCTTGGCTTTAGTCTGGAGAGCATTGTCTTTGAAACAGTCAGGCTATGGTTAGCATTATGAGAGATTCTTTCTGTCCCATCCCTCTTATATCATATGTAACAGGATAATGGAAAAAAAAAAACCAAAAAAAACCCCTCAGTTGCCATACCAGTGTTGGCCACATCAAAGCAACAGTTAATATACTAGTCATGGTAAATTAACATGGATCCTGATAGAAACATGGTTTTATCCATTTTTGTTTTTCAATGAACCATTTGGCTTGTATATTGTTTGAAACATCAAACATAATGCATGATCATATTTGAATATGAATACTACCTATGTTTTAATGATAACTGCGATTTTTATTGTGTGTATGGTACCACAGGTGTATCATTTTAAATTATGTATATAGCACTTAAGGTGTATAGTGACTGAAATCATTACTGTTGCTTCATTTGGCCTATATAGGATGTACCAATTTAGCAGATGATGTCATTCAGATCACATAAAAAGTCCCCTTAATCTGCCTGTCCAAATTCATGGAAATCACAGGTCTTGAGAAGTATTTAAATATCAATAACATTGTCCATGAAATGTTGAATCCTTCTTTCCTTCTCCCCTCTCCTTACACCACTTCCTACCTCTTCCACAAGCTTGGCTTTGTTATTCACAGTAAAGTTCCACCAGTGACAAGTCCCGGTACATAGTGGGTCTGAACCCTTCCCTGGACCCATGGCCAGAAATGGGATGTGGTCCAGGGAACAGCCTAGACAAGTGCCAACTGGGACACGTGGCAAGGGTTCTCCTTCCTTTTTGACACCCTTCAGCTGTGCCCTCCCAGGGAGGAGGAGCCTAGGTCATCCTCCTTGCACAAGTCTGTGTTGTGACTGCATCAACATCCCCCTTTCTGCTGGGGTGGACGCTGGTGATTCCAGTAGGATGAGGCCTGCCATGGGTGGCGTCTGGAATCCTCCAGAGGATGTTGACTCCTCTAGAGCCAGATGGGGGGAGCCAGAGAAGTGGCTGGGCCCCTGGAGGAAGACGAGTGTAACTACCCCTGGGCCACAGCCTCAAGACTGCGATGGCAGGTGCCCTGCCCGCAGCTCTCAAGCATGGAGGGCGGATGTTTTCTAGGCCAGCGGCTCTGGACAACAGCCGGGTCAGGCCTGGTAAAGGAAGTATACATGAGGAGATCAAATTGGAAGTGAATAGGAGACCATGATGTTCAAGGTTAGGTAGGAAGAGCTCTTGATACAGAACTGGATTTTCCCTTTTAAAACAAGGATGGCCATAGCTGAACACTTCTCGTGTGTGTGTCCTCCTCTTGTGGTCACCCCTCCTCTGGTCTCCTGATTGAAGAGAGGAGAGATGGCCCTGGATTCCAAAAGTAGCCTCACAACTATAGGAGGCCTGACTCTGCCCAGCCATTTTTACATTGCCTACGTGAAACTCACCAGCGCTTTGACAGCTTCTCTGAAGACCCAGGAGTGCGGGGCTTCCCTGGTGGCGCAGAGGTTGAGAGTCCGCCTGCCGATGCAGGGGACACGGGTTCGTGCCCCGGTCCGGGAAAATCCCACATGCCGCGGAGCGTCTGGGCCCGTGAGCCATGGCCAAAGATCCAGGGGTGCCCAACTGAATGGGAATCTATGGTCGGAGAATGTAATAATTTTTTCCGCAGCTCCCTTTACTCTCTCCCTACCTAACCCTAAGTAGATAAAATATTGGGCCGAAGGGCCAAATAATCCTGTTTAGGATCTCGCCATCTCATTTCCAGCCGGGCACTTCCCCTTCTTGTAACTTTCCAGTGTGATTTGGGGAATACTATTGATAACTCTGACACCTGGTGGTCACTTCAAAAACTGCACTCTGGAAGGATCCAAGGTCCACTTCGATCACTTTTATTTATTTTTGTTTTTCCAGTTACGATTTCAATGTAAATAACATGTACTTTATACATTAGTTATTATTACTAATTGAATTATTTATAAGTAAAATTCTTGCAAATGCATTCAACAGAATACACTTGAATAGAAAATTTCTGTGAAGATATACCGGAAACTTCGTGTCATAGTCCTTAGGAAGTGAAGCTAGGTGTGGGGGGAGGAGAGACTTATTTTACTTTACACCTTCTAGTTCTCTTTGAAATTAATTTTAAACAAAAAGAATGTGTTACTTTAATTGTGGCTGAAGTACCCCACTTGGGCAGGAGGTCCAGAAGTCCAGGATATTCCCCTCCAGGGCTCCTACCCTCTCCTGGTTTTGTGTCCAAGCACCTGTAGTGCTTTCACGTGTTTTGAGGGCATGGAGTACGGCTGGACTCCCTCTGATCTTTTTTTTTTTTAACATCTTTATTGGAGTATAATTGCTTTACAATGTTGTGTTAGTTTCTGCTGTATAACAAAAGGAATCAGCTTTATGTATTCATATATCCCCATATCCCCTCCGTCTTGCGTCTCCCTCCCACCCTCCCTATCCCACCTCTCTAGGTGGTCACAAAGCACCAAGCTGATCTGATCTCCCCATGTGATGCAGCTGCTTCCCACTAGCTATCTGTTTTACATTTGGTAGTGTATATATGTCCATGCCACTCTCTCACGTCGTCCCAGCTTACCCTTCCCCCTCCCCATGTCCTCAAGTCCATTCTCTACATCTGCGTCTTTATTCCTGTCCTGCCCCTAGGTTCTTCAGAGCCATTTTTTTTTTTAGATTCCATATATATGTGTTAGCATATGGTATTTGTTTTTCTCTTTGACTTACTTCACTCTGTATGACAGACTCTAGGTCCATCTGCCTCACTACAGATAACTCAATTTCTTTCTTTTTTTTATGGCTGAGTAATATTCCATTGCGTATATGTGCCACATCTTCTGTATCCATTCATCTGTCAATGGACACTTACGTTGCTTCCATGTCCTGGCTATTGTAAATAGTGCTGCAATGAACATTGTGGTACATGACTCTTTTTGAATTCTGGTTTTCTCAGGGTATATGCCCAGTAGTGGGATTGCTGGGTCATATGGTAGTTCTATTTTCAGTTTTTTAAGGAACCTCCATACTGTTCTCCATAGTGGCTGTATCCATTTCTCCCTCTGATCTTGTTCACTGATGGTGGTGGAGGAGCCCAGCAGCTGAGTAGAAACTGGTCCTAGGGAGCTGTCTGGCCGGAGTGCTGAAGCTGGGAAAAATTCCCAGCTCCCTTGGTGGTCACAGGAGTGAAGGAAGCAGTGCTCCTGTCAGGTGTGGGCTGCCCACTTCCCAAGGTCATGCTCAGCAGTGGTTGGAGAGCCAACCATTCATTCAAGTTTCCGATGCCTCACAGGTGCGAGGCGCCAGGAGCCAAGTTTCCCCCGGGCTCTAACATCAGAGAGCAGGGCTGGGGGCGGATGTGGCCTGGGGCTGGCTGGCAGGAAAGCCCGGTCTGATGAAAGCGGCTACCTTCTGACTAGCTTCTCTATGCCTCTTACTGTGCGATACCAACATTTCCTTCCATTCTTGAACAGACCTCCCACTGCTTTCCCACTACCCCCGCAAAGATAACATACTTTTACGAATGTGTTGCACGTAACCACTTTCCAAGTATGTGCTCAGGACAGCAAACATTCCTCTCACTTGACTGTGCCCATTCACCCGGCTTACCAACCAGTAGCCCAGAAACACTGGGGGGCTGAGTGACCTGAGAGGAAGATGCAAGACATTCAGGGGCAGAGCCCCAGGGGAGTCTCCCAGGGCCACATTTGGTCTACAGGGAGGAGAGAGGTCCTGCTGTCCTTGTAACGCAGTCCCTGAGGATGGGACCAGGACACAGGAGTGGAACTCTTTTGAAGCGGCTCTCCCGGGAAAGAAAATCATAGCACCCCACTCAATTGTTGGTCTTTATATCCAGAGAACATGTTTCAGCTCCAGTGATTAACT